TCTGTGCTGTGATATCTGTCCACAGTAAATTACGTAGTACTACTAATAGTATGCATGTTTCGTGATTGTTTCGTAAATCACCATATATCTAAGATACAAGCAATCGGATACAAATTTCAAGATAGCAGGAATTAGATACAAGTGATTTACGAAACAAAAACGTTTCGTGATTGCTAGTAGTCTGGTGTATTTTGTTTCGTGTTTGTTTCGTAAATCGTGTATACTTAGATTTACAAGTATTGATACTAATAATAGTTAATATATAAGTACGTATTAATAGTAGTATTTTGCAAAGGAGAATAACTCCTGTACAAAATACCTTATTACCTTAAACCTGAGAATTACCCTATCTAAAGAGCTGAATGACCCTAAACAAGAGATTCAATAAAGGCGTCGACTGGATACAGTATGTCGCGGAAGGTGTTCAACGGTATGACAGGCGGCATCTTGCCCGTGAATCTGTCGGATCTGACGAGGCTGATGGTGGAGTAGATCAAGTCCATGGGTACATCTCCATGAGTCCGCTGTGCGTGTCGATCATCGACACGCCGCAGTTCCAACGGCTTCGCGACCTCAAGCAGCTCGGTACGTCCTGCACTACCAGGCTTCGTCGATGAAAATCACTGATCGCAGTGGTTCATGCATATGTAGGCACGCTGTACTATGTGTTTCCTGGCGGGTCGCACAATCGCTTCGAGCATTCGTTGGGCGTGGCGCACCTTGCTGGCGCAACAGTCGAGCGCTTCCAAATCAACCAACCGGAGCTTGACATCACTGCGAAAGATGTGGATCTTCTGGTATCTTCACCACGTTCCTTGGCCGACGATGTCTCATGGTGAGAACGGTGTCTAGAGCGTCGCCGGTCTTGTGCACGACTTGGGGCATGGGCCGTTCTCGCATGTGTTTGACGGCGCGTTCATGCCGGTCGCCCGTCCAAGTACAGTACCCCTCCTTCCTCGTTCTTGCTCATATCCATCCACTCTTGTAGACAGCTCGTACTCGCACGAAGACATGTCCCTTCGCATGCTCGAGTACCTTGTGGACGACAACTCCATCGATATGGACACGCACGACATTCGTTTTGTCCAGCAGATCATCCAGGGCGCCAAGCGGTGTCTCTCCTTCCTCTTCCTCACCCCCCCCTCATCTCCATGTAGCACGCATCAAGCGCGCGTGGACGGCCGCGGCTTCCTCTACGAGATCGTCGCGAATGGACGCAACTGCATCGATGTGGACAAGTTCGACTACCTGGCGAGGGACATGGAGAACCTCTTTGGCGGGAAGAAGGGCTTCGACTGCTCTCGACTGTGGCATTATAACCGAGTGATCGGCAACGAAATCTGCTACCACACGTCGGTCACGGGAGATATTTACGAGATGTTCCAGCAGAGATATTACATGCACAAGCAGGTCGGATATATATATATATATATATTAGGTCACGAGTCGAATAAATATCGGATGGGTTCAAAAGCCGTACTATACTGTACTGGACGGAAACTATTGCATGTACTATCTGAAATATATATAGATATAATATTCGAATCTCGGATGGATTGTTCATGTATCTGAAATATATACTGTCTATATCAATATGTATATATATATATATATATATTGTATACATTTCCGATGGATTACCAATACTATACTTTGACATATCGGATGTATATATATATATAATATATATACAAATCCATTAAATTCTGGAATAGTATATATATATATATTATATATATATGTATATATATATATATACTATTCCAGAATTTAATGGATTTGGGTTTTTATATTCTGGTTCGAGTAGAATATAGCATTGGTATATTTTTTTGAGTCTAATAGTAGTAGTAGTAGTCTAATATCCATGATATTGAATATATATATATAAAACTATTTACGCAATAGATTTACAACCACCGCAAGGGCAAGGCTGTCGAGTACATGATCTGCGACGCACTGCTATTGGCCGACAAGGAACTCGGGATTTCGTCGTCCACAGAGTCCCCCGAGAGATTCCAGTATATGACCGATCATATTGTCAAAACCATCGAGTGCTCGACGTCCGCGGCGCTCGGACCGGCGCGCGCCATCATCCGCCGCATCCGGACGCGCCATTTGTACGAGTTTGTGGACGAGTATCTCGTACCCGCCGACTTGATGAACCATATTCCAAAGGTACGTATAATGCAGGTTTCCGTGAAAAAAATGCGAATTTTTATCCTATTTCCATGAAAAAACATGAAATTTTGCATGAACTTTCAATTAAAAAACGCGATTTTTTACGCTATTTCAATGGACAAAGCGATTTTGCATGCTATTTCCATGGGAAAAGCTGTGATTTTGTATGAGATTTCAATGAAAATATCATCAGACGAACTTGTCATGAGGTTCTCGTTGTAGTTGACGGCAGAGGACATTGCGTGTGCGTCCAACGCAGCGGCGCTAAATTTGAACGTGGACGACATCATTGTATACGACGGCCGGTTGAATTACAATCTCAAGGTAGAAATATATATATATATATATATATATATATATATATATTTGACACTTTTTTAGGACAAAAATCCAGTGGATATGGTGTCGTTTTACTCAACATCTGACTTGAATCACAAGTTCCACACCCCCAAGGATGAAGTGAGCTTGCTCTTTCCCGACAAGGTCTGTCTTGATATATATATATATATATTAAAATATTAATAAAATATTATTAGTTTGAGGAGCGTATTCTACGAGTTTTCAGTCGCAATTCGGATGGAAGTGTCAAGCACGCCATTTCCGATGCCTTCCGTCGCCATTTGAAGCAATATACCCGTCGGTTGCCGTTCTCACCTGCGTCCAAGGTACAATATATATATATATAGATTGTCGATGGAATAATATATATTTGAAACTGTTAGGTAGGACCCAAACCCCCTCTGGCGTTTCGTCCGTCGTCGTCGACTTCTCGAGGTACGTTTTGTGGTATATAACGTAGTATATTGCTGTCATATACTATTTATCTTTTGTAAAGTATTATTTCTTTATTCGTTTTATTATTTTTGAAGTGTTTTCATTTAGGATATTTCTATTTTTTCGTCTTTCAAGGTTATTTATTCCTTTTGAAGGGGCTTTCTGTTTATTTATGTTCTGTGGTTGATTGGTAGTGTTGGCGTTGGACCTGGACGACGCGAGTGCCACGAAAAGAGCCAAGTTGGAGGAGCACTAGATGTGACAATATTCCTAAATATACTTCAAATATTTTTCTAGTCGACTGTGAAAAATAAAAATATTTATCACGATTACTGTTATCCTCTTTGAAAGCACAGGCGCACCACCATTCGCCGCACCTAAGAAAGTGACATGTCCGATGATAGGAACTACTAGTAGTAGTTGTAGTACTAGTAGTACTACTACTAAATACTACGTAGTATATATACCACGGGGTCAGAGTAAGCTCTGAAATGCAACTAACAAAGTAAGGCTTTGAATGTAGTTAATTACTGTCCAAATAATGATACGTAAGGCGGTGGAATACTAAAAGCTCTTCTACACATTCAATTATACTTGATTTGACTATACTGCAAATACGGCAATCATGAATCCGACTAATTTAATACTAATGCTGATAACGCTTCCGCCCCTATAAAATACTATACTTAGTATTAAAGAGTTAATAAATTGGACACAATTGTTCCGTTGAACAAGTAATTTTCACAAAGCAAGTGCAAATGCAGTGTAAGGTCCTACAGTGTGTAGTACGTACAGTTAGTAGTGATAACTACTACTAGTAGTAGCAAGGAAACACTATCGCAAGCAATATCCGCGATGAGAAATACACGAACGAGTTCAAATTGGACAGAACGTTATTACCTTTAGCTCGAATGACTAACCAACTACGCTGTAGCCGATGTACAAGTCACCACGTTCCGGAGCATGTTGTACAGTATTATTGCTTGTATATCTTGAGATATTTCTAGAATTTAGAAGTATAGTACAATCAAGTAGTGTGATCTGCCACGCGAAAATACCATATACTACTACTTACTATACAGCATCCTAGTAGTCACAAATCGCATACTTTACTTATTACGTTAGCACCCCAACCTGTATACGGCGTACAAGTAGGTACTAGCGAACGTTCGTATATATTTTGGTTGTGTTGGCCAAAATGTGGATTTTATCGTGTAACGAATCTGTAACTGCCCAAGTTTCCAGTCGGTTTCACACCCCGGTGCAGCGTTCGTCTATTTCCATCTAACGTTACTCCATCCTTGGTTACTGTATTGTTGGCGTGTTCTTTACCATGGGAGATCGCGGTGGAGGAGTTGGAGGGGGTGCCGTGGTGCCAGTCGCCGCCAAGACCCGCAAGCGCCGGGCCTACCTGTACATTTTCAACAGTGTCGCAGCCATCGCGTCCGTGCTGTGTGTGTTTGTGGTTAACACCGTCGGCACCATCCGCACCATTCAGATCCTCATCGGTTCCGACACCAATTCGACCCACTCAGACGATGGACTCTTGCACGGGTACAAGGCATATTATACGCCTTACTTGCTTCGCGAAGTACTCGTCGCTCCTGCGACAGTGCAAACTCGCATCGATGCGGTACGGTCAGATATATAAATATATATATATATATATATATATTACAACGTCGAAGATGGACAGCCAGCAGCTAGCTACTTGTTTGGATATAGTGCTTGTACAATCGCCAAAAGTCCATCGATCGATTCTTCGTTGTACTGAATTTTGTATGTACACTAATTGAAGCCCCACTCGAATTTGACGTGGATGGTAGTTTCGTGTAATTTGATTGGCTATATACTTCTGTCGATTCTTCTGTACATTTGGTTGTGCTCTAGTTTAGAATAAACACAACAATTTGTAGAATAAATGAACGAGGAATGGATGATGACTACTGTATGTACTGCGGTCATGTCATGTTGTGCATTGGACTTGTACGAGTAGATATTATATATATATATATGTCGAATTGAATACTGGTGTGTATATATTATTTATATATACACATATATATATATATATACATGGCGTTGGATTGAAGATTGACTTGAAACGTTGATGTTGTGGGTTGTTTTGTAGATCTTGGCAAGTGGACGGAAGGTCGGGTACTTGGAAATGGACGAGAGTCCTAATACTACTACTAGTACTACTACTAGTAACCTCGCCACGTGGTTCCGTCAAGACTCGTGCCGCACGTTGGTTAACGCGACCACCGATCGCATCTACAACGAGTCGTATGTTGCCAAGACGCTGGTGCCGATGCTGCTCGCGGTAACGTGAATAGTTTTACTACGACCTGGTCCTAGTACTACTAACTACTAGGGATCGAACGCGTCCGACCAATCCGCGCTCATTGTCGTCGACTGTTCGTTCGAAGGGCGAAAAGCGATGGACACGACGAACATCAAGGTAAGAATAGTCTTTTGTCCAAAAATATATATATAAAAGTTTTTCTTCCATATATATATATGTAATAGTTTTGCTTCCATATATATATATATATATATATACTTTGTTATTGTAGCTATACCTCCTGGACCGGCACTTGCAGTGGTTGGTAACGTACCAACTTCAGACGATTATGGCGAATATCCCAGCTCGCAGAGACACGATGCCCACAGGAACAGTCAGCTATACCAACCTGTCGCTGGCTTCGTTATCTCTTGGAGGTATTCCCCAACGAGGACTGGACTTTCTCGCCAAACTAACTTCATCGGTACGAGTCTATGGAAATGTAGAATCTTGTGAGTTAAATCTATTGAAATCTATTGAATCGTTCGTTTATATTGATTGAAAACAGTATGGTGTGTGTTTTACTCGACATTTTGGATTGTTAGACCTGCGAAATATGATATACAACAAATTTTCAGAGTTTTTAAGTTTAGCCAATCATCATTCAACCTTCATTCTTTTGAGCCAATCATATAAATCAACCTCGTTCGTTCGTGTTAACCCATCCATCCTATAGCGTATTTTACATTGTCAACATCCATCCTACTGTTTTTCTTGCATTTTGTCCACAATCCCCAACGATCATAAAAAAGCATAATAGGAGGAGATGTGTGGTATCCATGTATATATATATATTATATATATATATATTATATATATATATATAAGAGTTGAGAGTAGGAACCGGCCGTACACCAGTTATTATGTTCCCGGGGGTTTCCTTTTAACGCGGCCCCATTCGATGCAGTCGTGATCGAGTCCGTGACGGACACGGGCGCTTGGAACACGAGCGTTGTGAGCACGGGGCTGCAGATGGTGCTGCAGGGCTTTGGGGGTATGTACAGGGGGTCGCAGAATGAGCAAGCCAACTACAAGACATTTGTATGGGTGCTCGACCCAGACCCGCTCCAAGTTGTGTTCAACTTTCACTTCGCCCAAGTTGGCCGTACGAAAAACTCGTGGGCGTGGGGCCAGGCTTTGATCTCGGGGTTCCTTTCATTTGGGGTGGTCACTAGCACGGTAATACAATATGCTGGTTTTATATATATATATGGAACTGGCATGATGATCGATGGCAAGACTACGTGCTTGTAACTGTGAGAGTGTGTTTTGATTCTATAGTTGCCGTGAAAGAGTGTATTTATATTCTTTTGTAGCCTTTGTGAGAGTGTATTTAATTTCTTCTTAACGATAGATTGGATGTATGTATTGGTGTAATTTCGGGGAGTTATGAATGTAATATATATATATATAATATATATATATGGTTACGATAGAGATGGAATCCGATAACCACACGATGGGTTGCTAGTGTCGTAGTTTGAAACCTTGTGTGTTGAAATTATATCATTGTGAATGATCATAATATATATATTTTTGAATGATATTTCATTGTGAATGATCACAATATATATATTTTTGAATGATATTTCATTGTGAATGATCATAATATTTATATATTTGAATGATATTTCATTGTGAATGATCATAATATATATATATATAGGTCATGGCGTGTATTATATCACGAAATATCTTGAAAGCTACCCAAGTGCGTTGGATTCCTGATATTTCGCCGTCCGTGCAGTCGGGTATTATGTTTCGGGGGATCTTAACTGTCATTGCGTGGTGGATCGATGGGTGGTGGGCCGTCCAGGAATGGTAAAAAATATATATATATTCATCCACATACATATACATATATACAAATATATATTTCCCGTCCGAATGAATTCAGTCGTACTATAGTGTATCCCTTAAATGGTTGTTATTTTTTCTACGATTCTCATGCCAAGGTTGGATATATATATAGTAGTTAGTTATATCCTATGAATGTATATGGCAATTACAGCTGATGTTCACTCTTGACAGGTATTGTCCTTTTCGCTGACATTTGCACTGGACAGTTGATTCGAGAATCGATTTTTATCGGATTTTAAGCTTCTTCAATGTATACTACTAGTAGTGTCTACAAATAATTTTAAAGCTATACATTTTGGTTGGGCCAAGCCACTGGGTCAAACTGTGATGATCGTCGTTGATTGGTTCAAATACCTCCAAAGTGAAATGTGATTGGCTAGGACATTCTCAAAAACTACATTTCTTTGCCTACTTATTCGATTCTCCTGAGAAGTCCAAAGTGGAACAGATTTGACAATACTACTACTACTTGTCCTCGTTCATTAGGTGCTTTCAACAGGGCAACGTGCGCCGAGGGTTACTCGACATGTATGTTCTTACAGACAGCGTCAAGTCGGACTGTTTGAGCTTATTTCTGGCTGGCGCGTCCTTCATCGCGTCCCGCCTCCGCCTTCGAATCAACCCGGCAGTGCCAGTGGTCATTTACTTGGTTGTATATTCGCAACGGGCCCAACTTGTAGCTGCGATGGGGCTGTTTCTCACGAGTAAGCAAGATCTCTCTCTTCTCTGTTGCTTGTATTAATATTTTTGTTGAAATAATTGTATGAGAGCTTTGGGTGTGGCCAATGTCAACAACGGATATGTTGTCTAGTTTGGATGGGGGTTTCTATCGTATGTAATGAAAGGTGAACAATTTTTGCCTTTTTAAGAGAAGAATGGATTCGAGGTTATATTGTGGATTCGGTACAAATTTCCAGACCCCGTCGAATCGAATCACGATTTGACGGCTATTGGCTAATCCAATTTTGATTGGCTGTTACAGAAAGGACAAGTATATTCAACCAATCAGAACTCCAGCGTGATGCATGATTGATTAGACAAACCACGCGAATTTTGGAAGTTTATAGCGAATTCACAATATTGAATGATGGAATTCTATTCACGTTTTGCATGGCGCAGATCAACGACAAATACGGTAGTTCGTACTTGCTTGTAGAATTGGGGTGGTAATGTAGATACATATTATCTTGGATACATATATATATAATATCGATATATTTGTTTGGAATAGATGCCAACTTGGAACTGGAAGCCAACCAAGCGCTCAACGTGGTGCTGTCCGAGACCACGGGGCTGGATATGTGGATGTGGCATGAAAAAAAAGACTTCAACGCCACGGTCGTGTTTAACGAGTTATCCTGGATGGTGCTCGGTACGTTTTCATTAGTCTAAAATCGTTCATTCTGAGTTTTGATTGGTCTAAAAAGGTCCTTTACTCCTCGTCGTTGATTGATTTAGCCTACTGTAAAATCGTTCATTCTGCTCTTTGATTGGTCTAAAAGAACCGTCTATTCTTAATTCTGTCTTGGTGTAGCGCTGATTTTAATGCTGGTGTATGCAATCACGGACAAGATTTACACCGTTTACTTCACGGACCATGCTGTGGAAGCCAAAACCACCAAAAAGACAGTCGCCGAAGACGGCACGGTAACTACGTAGTATTATACCCTCGCGACAAGACAAAACGAGTATTAATGCACCACTTGGTGTGGAATCCAGACAGGGGGGACTGGCTCGCAAGGTGGCAACAGTGGTTCGAACGAACGGGCGACTTGCTTTGAGACGAGCACGGTACGAATGCGTTAACGTCCATTTTGAATATGCTAGAGCTTATAGTTTTGATGCAGGGTGAATACTTGCGCCACAAGTATGGACTCATGTCGTACCACGAGAATTACCTGTTTATCAAGGGTACGGTCCCCAAAACAAAATAGACGTTAACACACACATCGATTGGGATGTATATATTTGAATAACGTTACTCTGCTTCGTCACACAGGTTTGAAATACGCGTCGCCATCGGGTATTTGGACGTCAGGATGGGTGGTTGTTGACGACAAGTTTCTGTTTCGCACAGACGACATCATGAAGGTTCGTTCGATATATATGGATGTGTCCCGTGATTCAAAACAGTCCTTAACGCGTTTTTTTCTGTGTAGGTGTGCGCGAATATTCTACTGCGCCACGATATCTTTCGTGCGCATTGCCATGTGATTGCCGAGAACCAAGTGGATAAGACGGTGATCCGCGTGTTCCGCAAGGATATTACGCTCAAGCAGCTCTTCAACCTGTCACTGCGACCGCTGGCGTGATCATACAGTCTTCATTTGTATATTCATACATGTAATCAATATGTAATGCTTCACAGTGTTAACGTCGCAAAGCCATAGCGCTACGTTGGCTTTGCTTGGAGCGCGTTTCAAAAGTAACGTTAACGTTATGGTCAAAGCATGTGTGTATATGTACTGTACAGTATCGAACCCGGGGCCAATTGTAGCTAATAATAGTATTGATACTGTAGTAGTAATTGTTGTGCTTTGCAATTATTTGGCAGTCCTACTTAGGCTCATACTCAGCTTCACATGATTTAGATTTCTGTCAAAACGCACGCTTACATCATATGGGACAGATTTAGCATTACGATGGATCGGAAGGATTATAAACACTAAATCTGCCTCGCTTAATCGGGCAACAGTGTGCTGAGAGGACAACTGGAGTGGAGTGCATGCCAACCATTGTAAGGACTGATGCAAGTGGTGAGCCCGCAATCATTGCATTCATTACCTGCAAAAATAACAAGATTCTGCGCAAAGATTGACACATCTGGGGGGCGTTCTATCTCTCGACCGAATTAATCTTAATCGGACGTGTGCACACGGAAGTCTGTTGGGATATCCATATTAATCTGCGGATTTGAGATCAATTGCCAAATAAGTTGCAATGCACAATACATACTATTCATAAATAAGACAGGATTTGTGTTGTAAGATTTACTACTATTTTAATACTACTACTACTGGAATCAGATTGTTTAATTCTTCAAAGTATGGAATAAAGTATGTGGGCTTGAACTCTAGCTACAGTAGCACTCTCCACATACAAAGACCAAGATATACTTGATGCTGCTTTTCGGCCAAAATGTGCCTAGCTCCATATATTTCCATACATAAAGGCCGATTGGTTTAAATTCTATTATTCGATCAATTTTTCACCAATCGAAAATCTAAACCGTAACTTCTGTTGGGCTTGTCCAGTTCTATCGTTATTACGGCTATTTTTCCTTAAAAATATCAATACAAAGTTGGAATAGCTGTCGAAAGACAAGGCATTTTTTGTAGTCTTTAGATGACTTGCACCATACTAGTACTATTTTGACTGAGATACTACAGTACGGTTCAAAAGTTCAAGGCTCAACAAGTGAAACCTACAGTATCAATCATTTCCAATCGAAGCTACTACGTTCCTTAACTACCTAATCATTACACTTGTCCTTATTATGTCTTAGTCAAATGTAGTGTACACCAACACAACCAGGAAGTGTCAAAACCAGTTTGTTGAATTTCTCGATAAAAGGGGTAGAAACAGGATATAAGGATCTCCAACATTAATACTTATCATCCCAATTAGTACTCAAGGAACATACAAGCAAGGAAGGAAGTGTTTTTTCGTTCTTGCCTGACTGACCAGTTTGTTCCAAAACTCCTGAAACGTTCCAGAATTAACGAAACAACTTGTTGCTGAGAAAACACCGCCAAAAGGACGGGGAATTGAAAATTTGGACAGTAAATGGGTTTCTAAAGGGTATAAAGGGGTTGAAAAACGGTATTAGACACGTTAAACGGTTATAAACAGGCTTAACCCGGGTAATTGAGCTTTTACTATTTTAAAACGACTTTTTAAAGCCCATTCAACAAGCACAACCCACATTGTGCCATAGGTACCGGATTGCTCCCCATTGTCAGTGTTGAAGAGTTCGTTGACAGACTTCGTGAGGGAACGAGCATGGACATCCAAGTAAGAGCGCATGATGGTAAGTTCGGATGTCGTACCAGGATGGGACCCACTGACGTCAATGCAGTGTCCCTGGGGAGTCACGGACACCTCAAGCTTGAGGCTGTAGAATTTGTCCTTTCCACTGAACCAGGATTTCTTGTCGTTGAAGCGGCCACCCGATCGCGTACAGCACGTACGGGTTGTTCGTGAACTAACGGTCTCGCTCACGTAGGTCCATTATTCATGGCAGTCGAATGAAGTGGCGGTACAGCGTCGAGGTCAAGAGTTCGTTGGACAAGCTTCTGGAAGGTTGGCGCTTTGTGAATCCAAAAGCCAAGGCGTGCTTCTCCCATGACTGATAGTACTTTAGGATGGCAAGGGCAATGAATACGGCATCGCGGGCACTCATCTTGGTCTTGGCACCACGGCCTTCGTTCCACCGTGCTTGCATCGGGAGTTCAATGATACCCCACAGTACGTCGAACTCTGCAGGTGTGAAGTTGGTCATCACTCAAAATCCTTCAGGGCCAGCATCTTGCAATGTTTTGTCCATTATGGGTTGCATACTGCAAGCTGGGCCAAAGAGGTCGAGGCATTCGTTCAAGAATATCTGGTCGCGCACAGATTGCTCCTCTAGACTGGCTGCATGGTAGAAGAAGGGTTGAACACCATGTCGGCGAATTTATTGAATTGTGTGTGGATTGTGTATGCCGAGGTAGAGGCATTTTGGAGGGAAAGTCGTAAAGGCGGGAGCCAAAAACATTGAAGAAATTTGAACATCACTGTAAATACGTATTGATTGAAGTGCTTGCTTAACACGTGTCAATTTTCGCGGCCTACAGATGTCTGACGAAGTCCACACCTCCCTTCCGATTTCTATGCAAATTGATCTAATATTGAAGTTCTGCAAAAAAAATCTGCAATCGATTCTTGTAAAACTGATATCCAATACTATACGTATAGAATTTTGCAATATATATTGTCATTTTTGATCTGCAAAATAATGAACTGGATTATTTGGGAGTGTATCCGGGTGTTTTTGTCCCATTTCGCCCGGACGTCCCAATACCTGAACATTTTGGGGACATCCCCATAATTTGGGGATAATACTGCCATTTGCTTCGGATATCCCAATAATTTGCACTTTTCGGGATGTCCGAGGCAAGTGGGGACAAAATCATCCGGATAAGCCCCCAAATCCTGCGTAGTATCCGTAACTACGAGGTACAGCTGTAGTAATGATTTTTAGTCGGAGATTAAAAGAGCATCTCCAACGTGGGTCCCAACTATAATACTAGTAATTGTAATAGTGAATATTGAGCTTGTGAGACACGAAATATAATGCCAGTATTAATCTCATTTCAAAATTGAATTACCTCTATCTGTTTATGTTTTTTAGAAATAAGTGGTTCAAAAGGTTACATCAGCCAAATCGATCATACGTTATCCAAGTGATTTACTGGTTGGGAATGATTTCAAGAAGGAAAATTAGAATTTTGAGAATACGTCAATCAAATTGAACTAATGATATAATGATGGAACCAGCATAATTTTATAAATCTCATCACGACGTTGCGAATGCACGTGGTCTCATGAATGTGTGGTGAATTTATGGGACCCAGAAAGTCGGCCAAGCTGGCCGGGAGTTTCCTGTACATGAATCACCTTACAGTACTTGAATTATTATAATATAATTATAATACTGCGTAGTACAAGTATATGCGTACTGTATACTCACAGTCAAGGAAGTCGTTGTATTACTGTAATAGCTACACTGCACATACTACAGTACTAGTATACTAGTACTAGTACGGTACTAGTACAACTGATCGTACGGTTAGGACAACGTTATGAGTAAAGTACTGTATTTCTCATACGCCGACGATGAGACATTTATGGCGCAGAAACTCTGTCAGCAGTTCTTTCCACGATCCCCATCTTGAACGATTCTAGCCTCCATGGCGGCGATGTTGTTAAGTCTTTGTCGACCATTCAATTCAACCAAGCGCCGTTGTATGTGTGGTCACCGCGATCATTGTGCAAGTCATCACCTTGTCGATGGCATAAGTAGTTCGTACTATTAATAGTACGAGTACTACATGTACGTATACTTCTTGAAGTACGTACTTAGCTTACAGTACTGTAGTACTGTACGTACTCCTCGGAGTAGTAGTTAACGTTACAGTACCTTTCATTCAATGAACGTCGCCACGAAATATCCCACCACAAAGCACGAAAACAAAACTGTAGGTCTCTTTAACGTGTGAATATCTAATGTTGTGGCAAGTTTGCAATGCCGGCGAAAGCTTCTTGATGTATCCTTGCTACTACTCGACACTTTAATTCTTCGAGGTACTACGTAGTACTAGTATTCACTAACCAGGTACTAGTACAGTATGTATGTAGTACTACGTAGTACAGCGGAACACTGTTCCCATCGTCGTTTGGAAACGACTGGTAAACCAGTTCATTGTACTGGCACTTCGTACCGCATATGCCACACCTGTTACACCGAGGCATTGGCCCACTTGTTATGGAGATCAATTCCATTATTTACTGTCTTCTTCGTCCAAAGAGTCTAATATATGGAGTAAATTAAGCCAAGTGGGTATAGTCGAAATAAGACAAGAGATATTCTACTATTTAACGCAATTCCTCAACGCTATAGGCATTTTCCATATGGGAAACACGAGAACAGGCCGTGCAATTCATGGCGACCAGATTGTGGTCATTTTCTCAATCTCCACAAGCAGCTCGATGATGCCCCGCAGCATCTTCGTGCTGGTACTCGCCGTCATGTACGCGGCAGCACAGACGGCAGCCCCCATCAGTACTGCAAAAGCTCCTTCTTCGTCGAGCTCAACCTCGTCGTCGATGGTGCCGTGTTCATCTATGGTGATCCAAACAGCTACCAAGAGATTGTTCTCCGACCGCACGAGTCCACTGACGGCGTGTGCGCAGTCGCTGGATTTGCTGCCCAATCAGTACCTTGACCTCGAACGACCTACCGCCACCCACTGCCGGCTCCTGGTCAACAACACCCATTGCAGTGCCTTCAACGATGCCTACAACGCAGCCATGATGTCCATCTCCCCCGTATGCTTGCTCTCTCCAACTCAACCGTCGTCCGTTCCCAAGCCATACGACGCCTTTGTCATGGACTGGTGCCGCACCAGGATGACGGCGGCGCCCCCCAACACGTCGAACAGCTCCAGTGG